TTTTCTGCGGTGTCTACATGCACTATAGCCAGATGGCTACAGACAGGGCTCATTAATGCAGGAATTGATGTGACTGTTTTTAAACCCCACTCTTACAGAGGAGCTTCTGTTTCAGCAGCATTTAACAGTGGAGTTTCTCTGAAACGGATTCTGCGGACCGCAGATAGGACTTCAGTTAATACGTTTAAAAAGTTTTATTACCGAGAGTCCGGGGAAGGGACTAAGTTCTCGGATAGAAGTTTGAGTTGTAATTTCAGTTAATCTGTATTTTCTTTCTTGAAATAAATTTTGTTGGATTGCATCTCCATTGAGGTTGTGTGGTTGAATCCTGTGAATTAGCCCAAACAAGCRGTGTGATTGTCATCAGCTTTGAACATGCTGTTTACATCTCTGAGACGAAGGTGAACGTAAATGAAAAATAATGTCCCTCATCCCAGCAGGTGTGCAGGATGAGGGACATTATTTGAATTGTAGTGAGCCTGAGGCTCAGAGAACACCCACCACTTTTTTGGAGCTAGATTTAGGGGTTGGCTGAGACCTTTCCTTTTTAAAAAACTTTGATGACAGTCACACGTGGCGATGAAAAGTGACGGGGGCCAGGCTAGGGAGCCTACTTATAGGGTCGCTAGGCATCATGGGTAATTGCCTCTTTGAAGAAGAGACCTCGCTCTCACAATATCTAAAATGATGCTGTTTACATCTCTGAGCCTCAGGCTCACTACARTTCAAATAATGTCCCTCGTCCTGCACACCTGCTGGGATGAGGGGGCATTTTCTTTTGATTAGACACGTTTGAATTACCTGAACTGCAGTTAAACGTTTTTTACACACCTGGCTTGGAGAAGGCGGCGGTTCTCCTCATTGTTCCAGGCCATCAGGACGGCGTGCTCCTCAGCCTCCTGCCTCGCCTTCTCCTCTGCCTTGGAGCCTACCTCCAACTCGAACTTCTTCCTCAGCATCTCCTCTTTAAAGTCCAGACTAACAAACAGAAGAAACAAAACATTTCTTATGTAATATTCATTTTCTTATTGTTTCAGTTAAAAAGCTACACAGACTGAGTATTGTTTTATTTTTTTCCCAGTAGAAAAACAATAAACAGAGTGAGCAACACAAGCAGCGCCCTGCTATCTGCCACTGTTACTGCTGTTTATCTTTAATGCATGCGCAGAAAAACTGTCGACTGCAGCCGTCCGGAGTGCACACACATGCTTTCACACTATTGCTCAGTGTTTTGTTTTTCACTAAACTCTGAGACAAAGATTTAACAAACCATGGTTCTGGAGAAAACAAGCACAGTTTTCATAGAGGCAAACAGCAACAGAAAAGCTACGGTTTCATTCAAAATCAGTGTGTAAACTAGACCTTTGTTTACACAATGAGAGTGGAYCCACATTTTATACATACATACTAATACATCTGGAGAACTACTGGAGTGAACTCCTTCAGACTGCACCATTTGATAGTTCAGGATAACTTTTAAATTATTTTTATTTAAAAATAGTTTGTAATGAGAACATTTAACTACACAACACATTCTGTTGTCACGTCTTGAGCAGCTGGTTGGTATCAAAGGCACAGTTTTATCTTGGTTTAAATCTTATTTAACTAATAGGAGTTTTTCCGTTCACCTTGGTGAATGCTCTTCTTCAGCAGCTCCTCTGACTTGTGGGGTCCCCCAAGGGTCCATTTTAGGTCCACTTCTTTTTAATCTTTATATGTTGCCTTTGGGGTCCATTTTCAGAAAGCATAACATCACTTTCCATTGCTTTGCTGATGATATCCAGGTCTATATGCCCATTAAGTTGAACAGGGATGCTCCATTGGATCCACTCCTCAGCTGTCTGACTGATACAAAAACCTGGCTAAAACTAAACTTTCTGAATCTAAATGAGAGTAAAGCTGAAGTAATCACTTTTGGTAAAGTAAATTCAGATGACATTGGCCCTTTATTTTCATACAGCCACTCTACTGTCAAGAATCTGGGTTTTCTCTTTGATGGTGCCTTTAAATTGGATAAACAGATCAATTCAGTTGTAAAATCAAGTTTTTTCCAATTAAGACTAATTGCTAAGGTGAAATCATATCTCCCCACTAAAGACCTTGAAAGGGTGATTCATGCTTTTATTACCACTCGCTTGGACTATTGTAATACTTTGTTTGTTGGTTTAGMTAAATCATCTCTGCATCGCCTAAAGACTGTCCGGAAGGCAGCAGCTCGTCTTTTAACAGGTACTAAAAACCATGAACACAGAACCCCGGTCCTGGCTTCTCTCCATTGGCTTCCTGTTCACCTGAGAATTGATTTTAAGGTTTTATTGATGGCTTTTAAAGTTTTTAATGGTCTGGCCGCGTCATATTTATGTGATCTTCTTAACATCTACACTCCAGTCAGAGCACTCAGGTCTACCAACCAGTTCCTGTTAGATGTCCCTAGATCCAAACTGAAATCTAGAGGTGACCAGGCTTTTGCAATAGCTGCTCCAAAGCTGTGGAACAGTTTACCTCTTAATATTCAGTCAGCAGAAACTGTTGAGGCTTTTAAATCTTTGCTGAAGACCCATTTATTTTATTTGGCTTATGTTTAAGATTTGGAGGTTCATTTAGAGCTTTTTTATATATTGTGTTTCTGTATTTGCATCTATTATTTGTTCGTTTTTTTGATGTCTTGACTGAACTGTGAAGCACTTTGGTCAGCTTTTGTTGTTAATGTGCTATACAAATAAATTTGACATTGACATTATGCACTAAGCTAATGCTAATGCTAACCATTGAAATCAATGAGCAGAACGTAGCGTGGTGCAAACTAACACTTTAAAAATGTACAAATGGTTCAAATACTTTGCTATAAACTACAGAAATTGTTACATGTTTACAAGAGATAAAAGGGTTATGTTTCACAGGTAAATATTACGCATATTTAACCAAAATTAATTATTTTAATTGTAAAACCTGTACGCTAACGTTAAACAGCTTCTATGTTCATGTTTAACTTTATTTAAAATCGATTTTATCTGTTGTCAAATATATTATTTACCGATATTAAACATGTAAATATGGACTTTATATGATTGTTGACTAGTTAGACTGCATATAAATTCAGAAATGATGTAGATTCGCTAATGACAGACACTAATGTAATGATTGAGCATCGTAAACAAAATAGTCACGTTGTCAGACAGGTTGGTTTATTCAGATATTTTCTACATCCAGTATTTGTGTTTTTCAACATTTCCAGAGAAAAAAGAGGAAAAAAAAAAGTGTGCCAGCTGTGGGTCTGATTCAGCAGCCTGCTTCATTGTGAAACTGAAGAATAATTCTTTGTGATAAAAATTAATTCATTAAACAATTCTTTGTGACATGAAATAATT